CCCCCCCCCCCCCCATCGCAGGCGGCAAAGAGTCTAGGGACACCGTTGACATCTGTGGTACACAACACTGCTGACTTACGTGCGACTTGTGCGATGGAATTTTCATCCAATGTCATTTCAGCAATTCCTTCCTGATCAACGTCAATTTCATCCACGTAAACCATCTCGGTCAGGGCCCGGGTCTTCAGACTCCATGCTGCCTGCAGGAAAGTACAAGGAATACAAGGAGTGAAATATCTGGCTGTGTCAGTACAGAGTGAACCAGCTGCTGACTGAAGGAAATGGAGACACCAATTGGTTCTCTGATCTCCCATTTTGATTTGTGCTGCCCCATAAACCTTACAAAGCTGATACCGGCCTTCCCTTTCATCTTTTACAGTCTTGCCGCCTCCTCTTCGGGACCGAAATGGCTTCCTCTGATGTCACTGCACGCTGAGAGCTTCTCACAATGTGCATTAGAAGCTCCAGCAAGTCAGATCGAGCCCGCCTCATTTCCTGGCTCGATGACGTCCAGCATCATCTAGCACTTTCCTCCCCGGCCTGACTGTCCCTGGCCCCGTCTCTTCTATTCATTCACTTCTTTCAGTCATGGAGACTCAGCATCACATGTGGGTGTTACCCTGCATGCAAATACAGTCTGCCCAGGAACGCCCACCCCTCCAGACTGACACCAAACCATCAAGGCTCTTGAATATTTACATAACTCCTCCCAGGTCCAAGTCCACTGCTTGCATCAGTCCTGAGGGCTCTTGAAAGGAGTACCAAGGCAAGATGTTGTGATGTTTTCAGGAAGCTTTGTACAGCACTCTGCCGGCCCCTCCCACCAGCCACGATCTGCCTGCCTTGCAGTGATGACATCACTGGGACTAAAATACGGTATGTACTGTCACTGCCACATAATGAAATGTCACTGGTTATGGAGGACAGTTTGTGTTTGTGATTCTGTGAGGCTGATAAAAGGAGTTGGGAATGTTAGTCAGTGCGGCCTACAATACAAGAGGAGTCAGTGCGGCCTACGATACAAGAGGAGTCAGTGCGGCCTACGATACAAGAGGAGTCAGTGCGGCCTACCATACAAGAGGAGTCAGTGCGGCCTACAATACAAGAGGAGTCAGAGAAGGCGGCTTTCAACCCGCGTGTTACAAATGTAGGTGAAATACATCTCCAGGTGAACCGTGAAGTACAACAACGTGGTGTACAATGTGTTGGGTCCTATTGCCTCACGCACCAAATCTTTTCAAATTTTGGGGAGCTCCTATATGTCTGGGCTGGACAGTTCCCAGGAGTCAGGTAGCCAATGCTCCCTAAAAATTACAACTGGCGTCTAACTTTTGAGGTTTCCTCTAGTCTTTGTCAATGGAGCCGACCCCTAAAAACATCCGGCTGGCTCCTGGATTGGACAGGCAGGCTCCTAAATCCCATAATATCCCCCCCACTCTACAGGTATAGGCTGGGCCTTCCAAGTGCAAGTTTATCTTTTCTAGCTAAAGTCATGTGGTCAGAAATGGGGGAGGGGGTAGTCCATGGTGGGTGGTTTTTCTGGCCATGTATAAAGCTCTGGTAACCACTATATTTAGGTTAGGATCATCAGAGAGGAGTTCCAAGATTCCCAGATTTGTGTCAGGAGGACAGTCAAGTTGAAATGAAAATTCCTGTTTACTTATTTCATCTGCACATGATTGGGTAACCAAAGTAAACATTCACACAATTTCCAACTCCTTCAGGTCCACACACTTCCAACAGAACATTCCCAACTCCTACAGGTCCACACACTTCCAACAGAACATTCCCAACTCCTTCAGGTCCACACACTTCCAATAGAACATTCCCATCTCTTTCAGGTCCACACATTTCCAATAGAACTAATATCAGCTAACTAAATCTATCTACAGTCTATGGAGAATTTACAACCAGTACCTGGATCAGAAGTTCAGAGTTTTTCTCCTTGGGAAGCATTTGAAGAAAATGGGAAACATGACTAAGGAATGAAAGAATGAACAATTTCATAAGATCTGCTGTGTGAGGTGGAGAACATTTTCTACCTCTATCATTTCTTTATTCTCTAGAAGAGGCATTTCAGGAATGATGGATGAAGAAATATATCTGTAAGAAATAATTCCAAGCAACTGGACTTGCTGTAATTTTCTTAAAGACGTTTCGCTGGTCATCCGACTAGCTTTCCCAATTCGTAATACAGAAAGCTGGTTGGATGACTAGCGAAATGTCTTAGCGAGTCCAGTTGCTTTGATTTATTTCTTACAGATATACCATGACCTGGATGAATAAGAACCTTTACAGTGGTGCACGGAACCGCGTGGTTGGCCATCGCGCTGGCGGCGCCATTCTTTTCTAACGGCACCCCAGTCGCGCCAGGCAGATTGCGTGGTTTCCCGGCGTGGCTGAAAAAAACCGCATGGTGTGTGTCCCCAAAAAAAAGGTACATGTCTCTTTTTACAGCGACTGGCGTACAGCTATAAAGCCATTGAAGTAAATAGGGCTTGCGCGGTCCTATTGCACGGTCCCGGGATACGCGCCCCAGGTCTGCACCAGCCCTAAGAAGTGGCCGGGTCGGGTTTTATTGTCAGTGCTACTTCAGAGCAGGTGAGGGAGGAATTTATGACTCAAGCTGTCACCTTGTGGTCACGTGATCTGCCTCACTGCCCCCCCCC